ATTAATATTGACAGCAAGATTTGAGATGGTTCCATTGTACTGAAACTTACTGATTTGTTACATGTTCTCAACACCAGTTAGGTTAGTTTTGACATAAAGGGTGTCCCACATCAAATTGCATCACGGAAAAAAAAACGCTGTATAAAATAACCCATTGGGTATTTTCTCTTGAAAATTTGGGTAGAAGTAGTTTAGAGTGTATTGTTTACACTGTATTTTTATCGCTGTCAGTTTGTCAGAAAGTTGGAAAAAATGGCGTCACCCTGAAAGCAACGTCGCGAATTGATTTTGCACAAGCACCTGGAAAATCCTCAACTCTCTCATCGGAACATCGGAATACAACTCGGAATCGTGCAGTCAACGGTGAGTTCGTGTGATTAAACGTGACTACGAAACTCTGAGCATCGCACGGAAGGAGAAATGCGGTCAGAATGGATGTTCTATTAGTGATCACAAGCGTGTCGTGAAAGCGTTTAAGCGGAATCCCAATGCTTCGGTCAGGGATGCGGCCAAAAAATTGAATCTGTCCAAATCTTCCGTTCAGAGAGCCAAGAACCGGGAGGGCTCCAAATCGTGATAAACGGCAAAATACGGTGGGAAAGTCACGGGCCCGGAAACTGTACACCCAGATGCTGACGAAGCCTCATTGTCTCATCATGGATGATGAGACTTACATCAAGGCGGACTTCCGGCAGTTTCCGGGGCTATTGTTCTTCACCTCCCTGCACAAGTTTGATGTTCCGGAGGAAGTAAGGAAGCAGAAATTTTCAAATTTTGCCAAGAAATACATGATTTGGCAAGCGAATCTGCTTGCCCCGTAACGTGGGTAGATCACCTTTTCGTGGTACGTTACGGGATGTAAGATCTACCACCGATTCCCAGTCCTGACTACTTCAAACTAGGGGAACAGGATTTTTCAGTAATCCAAGGAACACATCTTAGTCCTTTTTACTTTTTATGCCTTGTTGATAGTGACAAGACTCGGCTAATCTTCTATTAGTTGTTCTCTAGTTTGAAGTGGTTAATACTAGGGTTCTGATGCATGATCATTACCGGTGTCATTCCTTAATTTTGTTGCTAAGGAATCCAATTTTGACCGACAAAGGGGCGCGCCTTTGGAGGGTGTTTCAACACTCCGAAGGGTATAAATAGTGGGACCTTTCAATTACAGTCGGATCCTTGCATTGAAGGCAAGAATGACAACTGTAAAAAAGCATTGAATACTTCATCTTTTCTCTATAGTGATGGAGTAATACGATATGCACTAAACTAAGGACACGGGATATAGTATAATAGATCAAATTACTGGTCGCAGTGGTGTTAGGTCCCGAACAGAGGAAAAAAAGCGATCTGCTCATGTGGCAAACGGAGTGCGCCGTTCGTGACTACCGGCACTGTAAACTGGGAGATCTACCTCAAGGAGTGTCTACAGAAGCGTCTGCTTCCTGCCAACGGGGTCACTTTCGTATCCAAGGACATGAACCCCCCCAACGCACCGGAACTAAGGCCCATCGAAAAATACTGGGCTATTATGAAACAGGCACTACGGAAGCATCCCAAGGAGGTCAAATCTGAGGAAGACTTGAAGAAAAAGTGGGTTTCCGAACAGAAGAAGCTGCAGCCAGATGTTGTACAGAACCTAATGTGTGGAGTTAAGCGTAAGGTGCGAGCGTACGGTTATGGTATTGACGTTGAATGATATAAATATGCCAAAAACTTACTAATGGGTTATATTTTATTGTCTGGAAGTTTGAAAAGGTTCGGTCAATTAGGAAATTTTCTACAGCGTTTTTTCCGTAATGTAATTTGATGTGGTACACCCTTTAATAGTTATGTTAACTGTCACAATACCAAACCTGCAAAATATATGTCAATGCTGTGACACCTGTCCCGTTGCCGTGAATCGAGTTTGAACGTCGTTGCAGATTTAAATTGCAATACTATTGCATTTCAATTAATTATATGATTTGAGTAGAGCTATACTGAAGATCCGAGAGATGTCGCCCCTTCAGTGGTAGGATAATCTTTTTTGCAGTATGGAGAATATCAGAAAATCCACGATTTGTGACTAAACATGCTTTCACAGAAAGAAACAAATAAACGAGTGTTTACCTTATCACCAAAGTAATGTACTCGTGCAATTTTTGTGAATCTAAAACTGCCCATAAAGACGATAATGAATAAAAACTGAAAATTTTCATGCATTTCCAAATGGTTTCCTACAATTCCCACACACTAATCCAGCATTTAGTTGTTCGGTATTTTTTTGTACTGGGCTTACACCGTAAAACGAAAGATTTACTGAAAATTCAGTTTAAATCAGGTGAATAACCGACGTTCTGTAAAACACAAACTGAACTTCGGTATCGTGTGATGCAAAATACTGTACACAGAATATTTATTTACTGAGAAAGTCGTTAATTTCAAAATTTTCGTGACTTCACGAAAAGTCAGTAAAAATAGTAACTGTGCACAAAGTAGTCTTTATTTTTTTACAGACTGGTCAGCAAAATAGCCACCCTGTTTTACCGACCACGAATTGTAAAACACTAACCTGTCAATTTTATTCCCGCCGCCATTGTAGCTTCAGTTAAATCCGGGAGCAAGTGTTTAATCGCGCAGTTTTGTTAAAATTTGAATTATATCATGAATTATATCATGACGGAACTGAGAAAGCTCGACGGCGAAATTGAAGAACTATTTCGTTAGTACCAACTATTATTATTTACTCTTTTTGCAGTTCCTTGATCTCCAACACATTTTGATTAACAAAATGGATGTTTGCATTGTTTGCTTTCACTGTCGATGTTCCGGGTAAGTCAAGGCACAGAAAAACAGACGTAACTCTTTGAAAAAGTTTTTCTTGAAAACATAGTACCTCAAAACATATGACCTCAGTAACGACATCTCTCTGGCTTCTCGCGGAAAACAAGCTTGCTCGCTAACTCGCAAACAATATTGCATACAAGTTCTATAGAATGTATAGGAACGTCAAAGTGATCCGATGCCAGCGCTGCGGCGAGTAGTTCGCGGAACTGATAATATTCAAATCAACTGTTAAATGCGTGAACGAAGATATACAATTAAGTGTTACGTCTGTTTGTCTGTGGTCAAGGGATTAAGTCGTCATATTAATTGGCATATTATAAACGGTGGATTGCACCAGCACTCGTGCTTTTATGACTGCACATTCACTACTTTTAATATAACTTGGTAGTACGGTACAATAATGAACCAAATAACTGTCTTGTCAGTTAAATTGCAGCAAAATAAACAAAACAAAATACTGGGTTTTCCAGTATACGCAACTCGAACCAATTACTGAATGAACAGTTATTTTTGATAGATTAACTTTACGGACAGTTCGGTAATGCAAATTATTTCTGTGATGATTACTGGGCGATCCGCAATTCAAAAACCCAGTAATATTTTACTGACTCCAGTAATCTAAAGATAGTGTGCATACATTCGAAAGTGACTGGCCCTCTGTATATGGATGATATCAAAAACAACAAAACATGATTAATTACATACTGCATTTACGGATTTCAATTCCAATATAAAAGTTTAAATATACTGTAAGCATCTTAATTATTCTGTACTGGTAATCATACTTCAAAATATCTTGCTATTAATAATGGAAAGCTGGATAAAACTGGATGATTTATGAAGAATCCAGCTGACATAACTGCCCTGCACATCGTAAGTCGTGATAATAGTTCCTTAAAATTATCATGAACAATTCGCGTCATTAAAATTAATTCCGCAATGTTCATGATAGCACATCAGTCCCTTCGTGATTTTCACGACATCATTTAAAGTTTAAAATCCGCGCCTGTTCGCGTAGTTCAATCTTTGGAAAATTTGATTTTTTTCAGCAATCATCGTATTTATTCAACTCGGCAAGCCTCATTGGACAAACTACGACACGTGCTGAAAATATCTTATTTTTGCAACTTGTTGCATAAATAGGTTTTTTGTATGGTTCGAACGGTTTGAACCAAAACAAGAATATAGGTGAATATCGTTGTAGTTCATCGGAACGTCAGCGCTGAATTCAAGATAACGCCAAGACGTATGGTGTTGCTTTGTAGTCGTACCTTCACCGACTGGACTAATAGCGAATTTGTTTACTATTCAGTTCCAACCTGGATGACCTGAAGATCAAGATTAGGACTGCTTATTTTCTGACAAACGTTAGTTTGATCGTTTGTTTTTAAAACTTACCTCACTCATGTTGAGATTCGCACTGGGTTGGAACGAATTCGCTATAAGAGAGACCACTGACAAGGGCTTACAAAGTATGTTTCTCCGACCTACCAAGAATAAACCATGGGTACCTACACCAGAACAGCACATACATTTTACTCGGGTCGCGAATCAAGCAAAAAAGTAGCGTTAGGATGTGAGTAAAAATAAAATTAGCAACAGGCTTCAATTCAAACACATAGGTCTGACTGGCTGTTGCTATCATCGTCCGCCTCCTCCTCATCCTGCCTCATCTGACGATCCAGTGAGCCAAAAACCAAACAGCATGCAATTTCGACCTCACAGACACAAGCCTACGACGACCTACGGTTGTGGTATATTTTGGAGTCCGTCGTAAATAGGCGCGCGACAGGTCGTTCTCTCTGGCTCTCGCACACCAGCCAAGCCGCCAAGCTCCACAACCAACAGCTTACTTGCAGAGGCTACTTTAGGGCCTTCGCACCCGTCAAGAGCGTATGTTATCGGATGGATGGGGGTTCGTTCTGGTGTTGCTGCCTTCCTCTACCTGTTTTATTTTTGAGACCACACAGACAAAAGATATCAACAACATCTGTGTGTAGAACACCAAGAGAGAGAGAGAGAGAACGAGAGAGAGAGGCGCGAGCTGGGGAAAAACTTCAGCACCATGAGAACTGCTAATACCACGGGTGTAGATCCAGCAGCTATTGCTAGTAACCAATATCATCCATCCAACACCGTTTAAGGAGGCCAGACCGTATCATATCGTTGGATGGTTCGCATGGATGACTAGCTGTGGCTGGTTCAAGCGAATCGATGTGTGGGTGTGTGTTTGTGCGAGTGAGCAATGTGTTCCACAATACGGCTCTCGCCGGAAAGGTCGCCGCGCGTAGTCTCGGTCGTAGTAGAACGTAAGCAACAGTTGAGCTGAACCGCTTCATTAGTGTGGTAGGGATGCAGAAAAGTTCTCGCTCGGAGGCCGTTTTTAGTGTAGTGTCTCTGTTGTTATAGTCCCTTTCACCATCCGTTGTGCAAAAGCCGAGCTATTTTTTGGTGTCCAAAAATTTGTGTGAGTGTTTTGCTTCGTTCTGCGGCTTGATCTCAATAAGCTACCAGTATACGTAGTGCAAAGGAAGAATTTTTACCACGAATGTGCAACAGATAGTAAAATTTGTACAACAGAGACCGGATTGACAAATAAGGGCAGAAAAACAACGGACAAGCGAAGACTAGTTCGGTGCCACGGCAGGCAAGTGCAGTACAGGGAAGATTCACAGTGTATTTGCAATCGGTGCAGAATTTTTGCTGTGGCCAGCACGATTTCCAGCTTTTCTTCTTGGTAACAACGACAACGACGACGACGACAACGCAACACGTCGAGGAGTTCGAGCAAAGCAAGCAGACAGTGTACATTTTCTGGTTTTTAGGTGCACACCTGTACAAATGCAGTGCAAACAAAGAGGTGAAAATATGCTCAATTTGAATAAAACATGTCCTGCATTCTATTTCTGTACGAGAATATATGTGAGTGTGGATTTAGAGGGGGGCCTGGTGTGCGTGTGTAAATAAGGAAAGTAAGCATAAAGCTCTGTGTGGTTAATTTAACTTTAATGTACATAGAAGGAAGGAAGGAAGGCAGGCAGAGACACAGAACCGACTCCTGATGACGAGGAACTGAGCTCTGGTCTTGGGATCATGTTGCGTTAAGAGTGATATGTGGTGTAGATACTCGAAATCCTATTCCGATGTGTCACAACGATACGGATAAGCCTCGGAAATGGTAGACCCCGGTAACGATAGGCTGCTTAGAGAAGAGAGCCCAAAAGCCTGTGCTAATATCTTCCATTCCATCAGCAGCAGCAGCCAAGCAACAGGAAGAAACTCATGGCAAAGAGTTAAGAGATGAAAACGTGCTGGAACACATTACTCATCAAACATTATATACTCGGTACACAGGGCACCGTCCAAGAGTTCCATGAACGGAGAACTCTGCTGCGGCTGTTGCTCCAGAGAAAGAAAAAAAAAAACATTATACAGAACCCCCAAGTGAGTCTTCGGTTCAAATGGAAGGAATTTCAAAGCAGCTCTGCGGTGATTCAAGTGCGGGAAGAAAAGAAAGAAAAACTTTTTTGATATTAAATGCGCTCAGGTGTCAGCTATTGCTGCTGCTACTGCACGTTGGTCGTTGGTGCTGTTATTATTACTCTTCATGATGATGGCGATGATGATGTTGATGTTAATGCCAACCGACAAACTGACTGATAGCTTCACTTGACGGGTTGTTGGTTACGAACCCGTGCGCGATGTGAGAACGAGGTGGAAAAGTCGACTTTTAAATCAAATCTTGCATGACTTTGAGGCGATAGAGGCACCGCGTCGCTGCTACCGCGCAAAAATCGAAGCTTCTAAGTCTGGGCGGCAAATGCAGATAAATTTCCCTATTTACTAGATTTGCCTTCGCTTTATTATAATCTTGCCCGGTTTCGTCTCGCAACCCAGCACCCCAGATTGATCACAGAGAGCGCACTGTGTTTGGTTAGGCCACAAACGGCTTTTACCGTGCTCTTTAGTGAGGGGGAGGCAGTTTGCAACAGATATGAAAGAAGGCCGCCGAAGATGACGGCAAAAAAAAACGACAAACAGGCGATGAGAGTAATTGCGTTTGTTTGAATTATGATAATTTAGGTGAAAACACACCACACACACACACACAAAGTGAGAGAATGCGAAAAACCAGATTTTTACCGCCAATGCTTGCACGTGCAGGGGAGGTACATTTGGAAAGGAATATGCTAATTTAATCAATTTGTAGGAATGAGTTTTTCCATTATCTACTCCAGCTGGCGATTACCTTGCAGGTGTGGGTATCATCCGTGGAAAAACAGCAGAAATTAAGTGGCATATAATCCTAATTGAATTGCTTAATTCTTCAGAGAAGATTCCATGTAGCTATTCAAACTACATTTACGGAATCTATAGCGCTTCGGGTGAGGTTGCTACATCAAAGTACCACACAATTGGCATTTTCGATAATGAAGGTTCGGAGAAAAATATGTTTTCCAGCTTTTGATGTACAAGCTGCTTAGTAAAAGGTCATACAGAACCGCAGAACAAGCAAGCAAAGCTGGGGAATGTCGGCGTACAACAATTCGGCACACTCCAACGCTCCGACACATTTTGGGAAACTTTACGAAAGACAAACAATACCGTTGTTGGCGTGAGCACTTTTGTTTGCAAATCGTATTAGGTTTTTGGAAGCGACAAGATAAAAAGTGACGATTTGTCACATTGCTTTTTTGTTGACACTAGCCAAATGAAGATAAGAAGGGAAACGAGTGATAAACGCAAGATAGCTATGTCTGTATTTTCAGGTGCGCTGAAGCGATTTAGTGTTTTGCGTATAGCTCGTGTGTTGTCTCGTGAAACACCACTGCAGTGCACTAACTTCCCGGGCAAGAGTGGCTTCGTAAGTTTAATTTAATTTAGGATGGTTGCATAAATCTACGACACGTCCACTTTATTTTAATTTATCTTTACCTGCAAAGCAGGTACGCAGTCATATTTACCGATTTAGCGCTGAATGCGCATTGAATGTCATGAAACGCCCAGTTATTTTTAGATCATGCCGCAGCATTTTGTCAACATGTTGATTTTCTGCACTCTTCATCAAGTTACCTGCGCTTCTGATGTTTAACTTAACTCCAACGGTTATACCGTATTAGACATACATAAAATAGGCACACGAATGTTGGGTATACGAACGTGAAGCATAAAGACGTATGGGGCCATCCTTATACTATGTGGACAGAAGCATCATGACGTGGACTTTTCTTTTTCTAAAAATCCCAAAAATGAATCGTGTCTTGCCTAACATTTTCAGCTTTATTTTGTTATGTTTCGTACAATATATGACAGATAAGAGAAATTCAATTTAATTATAGTTCTAAGAATTTGGAACCCACTGGAGAGTTTAAGAAAGCGGCAAATTCAAATTACCCACAGATAACCCTAGAAGACTTCTATAAGGTACACCAATTTGCACAAATTCGTAGGTGGTACAAGTCCTAAACCATTTTTTGAACTTTCAACAAACCTCCAAACTACCGTGACACTGAGGTCGTAGAGTTCGCTGCATGTCTCTTAAGTAAGTGTCCAACTAACAATCCTTGTCATCCCCAGTAGTTGCAAGGACGTGGCCAGGACAGTTCTCAGACAGATAATGCTACTTCCATCTAAGAGGCCGATACGGTATCGGATGGAGGTGGCAGGTGGATCAGTATACTTATTCTAGACAAATCAACATAAAATACTCTTGAAATTGCACTGATTTCTAAAACGGGAAACATTGAAGTCAAATACAGGGCTGTTACAAGATTTTCTAAATTTTATCCGCGAAATCCGCGATTTCTCAAAAGAAATCCGCGACTTCAAATACTAATCCGCGACAAAAAAAAACTGTTTTCATTGCCTAAAAATAGCATTTGTTTACTACTACATGGCATTTCAAGCTTATTGCTTATAGCATATTAGATTTTGCCTACCTCTCAACTTAGTGTTCTTTGAAGTATTTTAACAATTTAATTGAGAGCTTTCTATGCCTGTACCATCCTATGCCCAAGGAAGTAGAGACATTTTCCAACCCGAAAAATTAATAGACCGGACGGGAATCGAACTCAGTCGCCTCCAGCATAGACTTGCTTTGTAGCTGTACCTTTACCGATTGAGCTAAAGAAGTATAATTTGTAACACTTGATTTTTTTAAATATCATTGTATCATCTTCAGTTATTTATGTATAGTATAAATGCTGAGTAATTAGTGAACATAATAAAACACCCTTACATTATGAGATTCTATTGATTAATACCGGCCTACGTTTGATGAAACATTATTTTAAGAAAATTAATGCATTTTCATTTGACATGCAAATTTTCTTGAAAATTAACCTTTGCGTCTCAGACGTATTTTGCTGTCCTAAATGTTGTAGATAATATGGCCCTAGTGTTCTCAATTTTTTACCGATTCAAACCAAACACATTGCACATAATTGAGAAATTACCAGAGTTTTATAAGTCACACTTGTTGGTCTCGTCGTGGTTGTGTATTTACACATTACTTGGGTTCTGTCCAATGGTGAGACATTTGCATTATATATTTTTTTATTTGTAATATGAACCTAGCACTTTTCGTTGTCAAATCATAACCGAATCGTATACATGTGACTTTGTGGATCATGCACGACTTATGACTATGTATACCGGAAATTAAAGATTTTCCAAATCGTCCAGGACATCAGTTGATTTGTTCTACTAGATCAACCAAGACTGCAATAATGTCTGTAGTATCGAAAACTATCCAATCAGAATCAAAGTGTCTATGTGCATGATCTATTTCCGAGTAATCCAGATGTTCAAGGTTCTTCAAATCGTCCTGGAGTTCAGATAATTTGATCTACTAGATCAACCGAGATTGGGACTATGTCTTTAGTATCGAAATATTTCCAAACAGATGCACAGTGTCTATGTGGATCATGCATGAACTATTGTCATGTATACCAGATGTTTTAAGTTCTCCAAATCGTTCTGGAGTTCAGATGGTTTATTCTACTAGATCAACCATGACTGGGTTAAAGTATGTAGTATCGAAATATGTCCAAACAGAATCATAGTGTCTATCTGGATAATGTTTAATTATTTCCACGTATGCCAGATGATCTAAATTCTCCAAATCGTCCTGCAGTTCAGATGATTTGTTTTACTAAATCAACAAAGACTAGGATAATATCTGTAGTATCAAAATATCGATTTGGAAATCCTAGAACATTTGGCATACACGGATCCACATAGACACTGCAGATTTGTTTGGGCATATTTCGATACTAAATATATTGGATTAGTCTTGGGTGGTCTAGTAGAAAAATAATCTGATAGCAATAGGTCGGGCACGATCCACATAGACACTTTGAATCATATTTCGATACTACATACATTATTGCAGTCTTGGTTGATATAGTAGAACAAATCAACTGAACTTAAGGACGATTTGGAGAACCTAGAATATCCGGTATACATGGCAATTACTCGCATATATACGATTCGTTTATGATTTGACAACGAAAAATGCTATGTTCATATTGGAATAAAAGGAAAATGTGTCACATTGGACAGCCCTTAGAGAATTTCCGTTTAAATCCGGTGTGACGTATGAGATCATTTCTCGATTATTTGCAGGGTGTTTGGTTTGAACCGGTAAAAAAATGAGAGCCAAATGAACAACACAATTGATGACAGCAAAATAATCCGGGACGGAAAGATTACAATGAATTCATCATTTTTTGTGATAGCACGTCAGTCCCTTCGCGATTTTCACGACATCATTTAATGTTTCCGCGATTTTCGCGACTGAAAGTTGTAACAGCCCTGTAAATCTTATATCTTAATTTTTCTTCTATTTGTGATCTCGAA